GTGAGCCGAGGAGTCGAAAGAAAGATTTCTTAGACTCTCAAGATCTGGCAGTAGTGCTCTTTTATTTAGAAAATAGTGTGGAATAGCATGGGGACAGGACCCATGGGCAGTCAGAGCTTCTGCTGCCGCCGCTTCTGCTGCCCCCGCTGGCATGGGGACAGAGCCCATGGGCAGGCAGAGCCGCTGCTGCTGCCCCCGCTGGCATGGGGACAGGACCCATGGGCAGGCAGAGCTGGTGCGTGGGGACAGGACCCACGGGCAGTCAGAGCTCCTGCTGCTGCTGCGAACTGAGGGTTAGGGCCAAATTTAAGGCATAGGTATGTGAGTTATCTCTTTACAAGACAAAGAATATGTAAAAAAGTTAAAATGGTAGATAAGAATCAAACCGGATTGAGTAAATGGCAGAAGTCACCGCTTGAATTTTATCCTTGGCTAAAGACAAAGGAGGATCTGTGGGGGGGAGGGTCAGTTACATGAGGTTGCCAGACAGTAACCAACTTAAGTTCTTACCTCTGGCATTGACCAAGAGCCTCTAGAGATAAGACCATCCCCCCCTCTTCCTGGCACAGAGAGGGAGGCATCTTCACAGATAGAGGTTTCCCTTAGAAATGTAAATGTTTCCCAACAAAGGGGCAAACAAATTCCACTCCTTGGAGCCTGAATCTCATCTGTAGTTTTAAAACTAACCAGCCTAAAAATCCTCATCATAAGCCATTTTAAAATTAAGCAGCCTAAAAATCCTCATCACCCCAGATCCTGTGGATATGTTACTCTACAGGGTAAAAAGGACTTTGCAGATGAGACTAAGTCGGGATCTTGAGATGGGGAGGTTATCCTCGTTCTCCAGGTGGACTCAGTGTAGTACAAGGATCCTCCTAGGAGGGAGGCAGAAGGTCATGGAGGAGAGAAGATGCTACACCACTGGCTTTGAGGATGGAGGAGGGGCCATAAGTCAAGGAATGTAGGTGGTTTCTAGAAGCTGGAAAAGGCTAGGCACAGATTCTCACCATATTAGTTTCCTGTGATTGCTGTAACACATGACCTCAAATTTGGTAGCTTAAAACCACAGAAATTTATTCTCTTACAGTTCTGGAGGCCAGAAGCCGGAGATCATAGCGTCGAAATGCAGGCCCCTCTGCAGGCTCGGGGGGAGTCCGCGCTCTGCTGCCTCCAGCTTCGGGCGGCTGTCGACTTTCTCTGGTTTGTGGCAGCATCATTCCAGTCTCTGGCCCACGGTCACACTGCCTTCTCCATTCTCTGTCTTCTTGTCCGTCTGTCCATGTGTCTCTCTGATAAGCATACACGTGGCTGCATTTAGGGCCCACCTGGGAAATCCAAGAGAAGCTCCTCCTCTCGGCATCCTTAGCTTAATCCCACGCTTTTCCATATAAGGTAATGTGCACTCTTTTGCCATATAAGGTGCTATTCTCAGGACCCCGGGATGAGGACGTGGACATATCTTTTGGGGGCCACTGTTCAGCCCCCTACACTCACCTAGAGCCTCCAGGAGGACCCCGCCCTGCCGACACCCTTAGTCCTGTTAAGATCTGACTCCCAGAACTGCAGAATAAACTCACATTGCTCAAGGCCATGAGGTTGGTGGTAATTTGTTACAGCAGCTGTAGGAAATGAACACACTGTATTTACTGACATGAAAAGACACACTGTCGAGTGACACTCAGGCAGGACACTAACCCGGGTTATGGTAAGAACCGCTTTATATCACATGACAAATAAAAATGGCAAGCAATAGGATATATTGGAGTGTATGAGGAAGCCATTTGGTATAAACCTAATTCGGCCTGACTTTTTTTTTTGTTCCTCCAAAAGGGCCTGACTGGCTATTGAGCACGCATTGCATATCTGCTTAGACATTTCCTATGGCCAGAACAAAGGCCCTTGAGATAAAGATGCAACTCCCCCCGCCCCACATTAGCATTTTTCCGTAGGCTAGGAACTGATTGCTGCACTCACCTCCCAGCTCACCTGTGACCACCCAGCTGGAGACAACAGACTGCCACCCTGCTGTGTTCACCAAGACAGAAGACCTACCTGCTATTTCCATCAATCGCTGTGCCAACAGAGTAGTCTTGCGACTATTGTAAAAGGGACATTCCAATCACATGTGAAACATCCTCTTTGAGGGTATATAACAGACCCTGTATACCCCCCCACCTCTTTGGAGTGCTGTGTTCCTTTGTGGAAAGACTCTCCCGGGTTATAATCCTCAGATTTAAGCTCAGAATAAACTCACCCAAATTTTCATTTATAGATTGGATATGGATTATTTTCGTTGACACACAGAAGTCTGTGTGCCAGGCTGCTCTCAGGGGAGGGCACCCAGCAGAGGGACCGGAACAGGAGGCAGGCTCGGTGGAGGCCCAGAGCAGTGTGGCCGCTTGTCACCCGCCCATCCACACTCTTCCAGAAAAGATTTAAGGACAGGCCCTCCCCGCCGCTCCCCCCTCAAGTTCTCTTCCTTTCTCCTCCTCCCTCACCTGCCTCACTTCCCCACAGTTCCCTAGAAGCTAGCTTAAAGCCAGGCCCCTGGGGGAGACGACGAGGGGGCAAGATGAAGATGGAGGGAGGGTGACATGGGCCATCAAGGATGATGTTGGGAGACCGGGGGACTCTGGAGGGGGTGCCTTGCCTCTTAGCACCAAGGAAATCGGTTCTGGGAGGCGACCCTGCTCCCACAGACCCGTTTGACTTGAAGCACCTCATCCTGGCCTAGATTCCCCATCTGCTTGTGCTAAACCCCACATCCCCCAGGGGGCTGTGGGGCACCAGGCCCACTCCCTCACGAGTCAGGAGTGCGGGCCCCAGGGCCCGAGGCCGCCCCTTGCCCACGGCGGTGGATCCGATGAGCGGAGCACTCTGTCAGCCTCCTCGCATCCACCCCCACCAGCCTCACCCAACCCCCTCCCCACTCCCTTTCTGAGGTTCCCCCTCAGAGTCCCCAACTTCCTGGCAAAGGTTCTCCAGCTAGGCTCTCCCAAGAAAGCCGTCCACGGCCGGATGGGAATGTTTCCAGCTCACGGTGAGGCTCTGAGGAGAGACACTAAGATGGTTCTCCTCTGTGCTCAGGTACTCACTCTCCCTGGGGCCTCACTGTCGGCAGAGCTCAGCCCCTGGGGAGCGTCCCTGGTGTCCAGCATCACAGCACAGGCCAGCTTGGCTTAAAGGAAAGTGTCGCTTTTATTGGCTTTTCAGAGAGAAAACTAAATTATCCATCCAATTCAAAAGTGGAAAACTTCCATTCATATAAAAATTCTTTCATAGCAGATTGGGGGCTGGGGCTGGGGAATGGGAAGTGACAGCTTAATGGGTACGAGGCTCCCTTTTGGGTTGATGAAAATGGAACTAGATAGGGATGGCAGTGGTACAACATTTGACTATCCTAAATGCCTCTGAATTGTTCACTTTAAGATGGCTGTTTTTATGTTGTGTGAATTTCACCTCAAAAAAATTATTCCTTTCTTTTCAACGAAAATGGAGCGTTGACTGTGTTTCACATACTGTTGAATGTCCTGGGGACATATTGACGAGGAAGACGCCCAAGATGCCCACCCCACAGAGCATAAGGTCTAGTGAAACATACAGGTAAGAATAATACAGTGATGCAGCTGAACTTGGCACAAAAGTGGTGATCAATAAATGCTTGTTAAATAAAATATAAATGGATATAGGAGCTTTGGAGGTCTATGTAACCCAGACTGAGGATCACAGAGGAAGTGGTATCTAAACGAACTCTTGAGAGATAAGTAGGAGTTAGCCAAGTGGGACTGTAAGATGTGCAAATGCCCAGAGGTGAGGCAGCTTCCAGGAACTGAGAGATGTCCTCTGTGGCTGGGAACAATGTTGGAGGAGTGAGGGGTGTGAAACAAGGCGTGAAGAGCGGGCAGGAGTCGGCTCCAGAGGCCCTTTGAGTTATGCTAATATTTGTTCACACAGGCATTCTTTCTGCCAACGGTACCTGGATTTTCCTTTAGGGAATTTACTCATCCACCATTCTCAGCTGTGCAGTAGAATGAGTAGGAAGTGAGGGGTCTGGAGTATTTATTACCTTTATGTGAGTAAAATTCATTATAGATAGGTGATAGAGAGAGATAGCTAGATATCGATAGCTAGAGAGATGTAAATAAATAGATAGATATAGATAGACGTTAATAGATAGAGAGAGACAGAGACAGAAAGAGACAGAGGTGATAGATAGACAAGAACTGGTTGTTAAACATTCACCAGCACACCGCTGTCTGTAGAGGTGGAGGGATATGACTCAAATCTGATATAAAAATCTATTTTTTTTTTAAAGATTTAATTTTTTTCCTTTTTCTCCCCAAAGCCCCCCGGTACATAGTTGTGTATTCTTCGTTGTGGGTCCTTCTAGTTGTGGCATGTGGGATGCTGCCTCAGCGTGGTCTGATGAGCAGCACCATGTCCGCTCCCAGGATTCGAACTAACGAAACACTGGGCTGCCTGCAGCGGAGCGCGCGGATTTAACCACTCGGCCACGGGGCCAGCCCCTATAAAAATCTATTTTTTACATCCGTCTGGGCTCCCTGAGTTCCCAGCCAACACCAAAACTGTTTATTTAATAAGGGGAAGTTCCATCCCTCCTTCCACCATTAGGGACCAGTTAGATGAGGGGGTCTGTGGGGCCTGGGAGCGTGGCTGTGTTCATTTGCACCTGGATCTCAGCGTTCAGTGGAACTAAGCCGAGAAACGCATCGCAGTTCCATCTCTGCTAAGCTGCTGGCAGAATGATGTTGAAAAGAGAAGATCGAGAGAGCAGGAGTCCTGGGTGCCCGGAATTACTCTGGAAGACGAATGTGTGATCTGGGCACAGAGCCGCTGTGACCTTCAGAATGGCTGTGCCAGCACGTCCAGGGCTGGAGGACCAGGCTGGGGTCTGCACAGACCTCCTGTGAAAGACACTGCAGAAGGCAGCCCGTGGACGGGGTGGACGTGTTTGCGGCATCCAACAAAGGTAATTTTTTAGGATGGATTTGCTCTGCAGAGGCAAAGTAGATTTGTAATTACGCAGTTCACTAATGAGACTAACGAGACCTGTTGTTTCCTGACAACAGCTGTCCCCACCTTCTTACTGACAAAACTCGGGTTTGTTCTGGTGTCAGCAGTCCTGGGCTTTGTGCTCTTCCCAGCCTGGTGGGGTAATCATGGTTGGTGTTTCTCTCCTCTGGGCAGCGACTGATTTAAGAAATGAACCTGAGAGGAAGCCTGTGGAGGTGTCTCTGGGAAGGACTTTCTCTTCTTCTAGAAAGAACTACTGGGAGAAATGCCCCCATTCTCTTTGGGTGTGGTGGTCCCTGTGGGAGGCTGGAACTGCTGCAGCCCCTTTGCGACCATGAGGAGACAAAGCAATATGTTGTGTGTGTGTGGGGGGGTGTGGATATCTAGTCATATCTGTCATCCTGGAGCAGATCCCTGGAAGAAGTGGGCAGTGAGAGGAGCCCAAGGGGCCCTGGGGTTGGCTGAGGGGAAAGCTATGACTTCTGGTGACAGTGATGCTGAGGGACCTCCGAGGAGCCAGAAAGGAGATAAAGCGAGTAGAGGAGGTACTCCTGGACAAGACTGTAGTATTGTGCACCAGGTTTGTAACAACGAGGACAGAGAGAAGTGGACAGGCAATAGATATCTTGGAGGCAACTTGGTGATCACTTGGATAGAGAGGATGAAGAAGAGAGGCTTCACAGATTTTCCTTCAATAAAGGACAAATTCCTCCCCACCATGGACCACACAGCACTGTCCACCACGGCTCCTGCCCATCTCTCCAGACACATCTTTCCACCTCGCCCTCCTTGGTCTCTAAAATACGGTCCGTCATGTTAATCTTTTGGTTTCTCAGAGGTTCCTTTGCACTCTGCCCTCTGCCCTCTGCCCTCATCACTCGCCCGCCCACCTGCCAGACTCCGGCTCACCTTTCAGCCTGCTTCCTCTGTGCTGCTCTGGTCCGGCTCGCTCACCACCCTGTGCCTCCTCAGCCCCTCTCCCCGCCCATGATAGTACTGAGACTGCTGTGTCCAGCCTGCGGCTCTGCAAGTGCCATGGGGCTGGGATCAGCTCCCAACACAGCACCTGGCCCCCAGCAGGTGATTCACAAACACCTGTGGAACGATGGACTGAGAGCCGATGAGATGAGTGACGGGGGGCCCTGGTGGCCTAGAAAGAGCTTTGGGTGGGGGAGGTGAGGAAGAGGAGACTGGGGGTATAGAAACACTTTAGGGTGTCTCGCTCCTTCCAAAGGTGCACCTACCACTTCTCTCCTTCCCAGGACTTCACTGCCAAGACCCTCATTGTCCCTATGCTGCTGCTTTCTCTGTCTCTCTCTCTTTTTTTTTTTGTGAGGAAGATTGGCCCTGAGCTAACATCTGTTGCCAATCTTCCTCTTTTTGCTTGAGGAAGATTGTTGCTGAGTTAACATCTGTGCCCATCTTCCTCTATTTTGTATGTGGGATGCCGCCACAGCATGGCTTGATGAGTGGTATGTGGGTCCGTGCCTGGGATCTGAACCCACCAACCCCTGGCCACTGAAGCAGAGCACGGGAATTAACCACTATCGTGGCCCCTGGTTTCTCTTTTTTACCAATTCATTTCCATGGGCCCATGAACCTGCTCTTCGAGTGTCTCCATTACAAATCCCTTAGGAGGCAACGCATTTCTACACCTCACCTCCCAGTGCCACCGGCAAAACCTACTGAAAGACTCATGCGTGCTCGCTGTCCCACCTGCTCACCTCCTCGTCTCTTCAACCTGCTCCTACGGGGGCTCTGTGCACTCTGCTTTGCTGAGTCTGCCCAGGTCGGCGTCACTGGGGACTGGAGACCTCAGGCTCCTGGTTTTCCTCCTGGTCACAGGCTGCTGGATTTCATCTCCTTTACTTGTTTTTCCTCCACTGCCTCTAAATGTAGTGGTGTCCCCGGCCTGGGCCCCTTTCTCTGCCTGCTCTCCACCCTGGTGATCACATCCATTCCCATGGCTTTGAACCCCATCTTTATACCTACGGCCGCCACACTTAGAACTCCAGCTCTGAGTTTCAGTCTGCTTACCTGGTGTGTCCAGTCACAGGGTCGAATTAATACCTTTTGAAAAAAACTTAGCATCTTGAATTTAACTTCGTTCAAATAGAATCTTGACCCCCGCACACCCTGTGCCTCCCCTCTCCTCCCCCATCTCTGGCACAGCACATAGTGGGTGTTCAATATCATTTGTTGATGGTGGATGTGATATTGTGATATAATAAGATCTATATATTTTATCTTTGTCTCCTGTTCCTGGCACAGAGGTTCTAAAATCTTTCTAATTTCCTGAGTGACAGAATCATCTTTTGTTATAATATTTGGTCTCAGTCTCTAGGTCCTTGGGTTCTCCAGAATGATGAGTGTCTTGTATGCTAATGAGAAGACTGGTGGCTGGAGGCCCCCAGACAGCTTTGGGATGGGGGCTGGTCACCAGAAAGACCAGGCATGACTGGAAGGTTGGCACCTTCAGCCCTACCCCCAGCCTCCTGGGAGGGGAGAGGGCCTGAAGATTGAGTTAATCACCAATGGCCGATGATTTACTCTATCATGCCTACGCAATGGTATCTCCATAAAACCCCCTAAATAATGGGGTTGGGGGGTTCAGAGGGCTGGGTTGGTGAACCCGCTTCTTGGCAGCCCGGGGTTCACCGGTTCGGATCCCAGGTGAGGACGTGGCACCGCTTGGCAAGCCATGCTGTGGTAGGTGTCCCACATATAAAGTGGAGGAAGATGGGCATGGATGTTGGCTCAGGGCCAGTCTTCCTCAGCAAAAAGAGGAGGATTGGCAGTAGTTAGCTCAGGGCTAATCTTCCTCAAAATAACTAACTAACTAACTAACTAAATAAATTGTAGGGCACCCAGCTGGAGTCAGAGAATTGGTTGGTGTGGGACCCTCCCCCGTACACACACATATTTGGTGTCGGAAGTGTTCTGTGGGTAGAAACAGATCACAGCCGTGAGTGATTGCGAGGCAGTGGTGCTTCCTGCTTCTGAGAGCTCTGGCCGCTGACCTGGTTTGGGGAACCAGACCAATCGCTGGGCTGAACTCTCCGCCTTCAAGCTGACCACTGGTGCCCAGCTCTGAGGTTCTTACAGAGCCAGGGGGTGTCCACAGAAAACGGTTTACTTATGAGCAACCACATCTGTTTTTTTTAATTGTGGTAAAATATGCATAACATAAAAGTCACCATTTTAACCATTTTAAAGATTTTACTTTTTCCTTTTTCTCCCCAAAACCCCCAGGTACACAGTTGTATATTCTTCGTTGTGGGTCCTTCTAGTTGTGGCGTGTGGGATGCTGCCTCAGCATGGTTTGATGAGCAGTGCCATGTCTGTGCCCAGGATTTGAACCAACGAAACACTGGGCCGCCTGCAGCGGAGCGCACGAACTTAACCACTCGGCCATGGGGCCAGACCCCATTTTAACCATTTTAAAGTGTACAATTCAGTGGCATTTACTACATTCACAGTATTGGGCAACCATCACCATTATCTGGCTCCAGAACATTTCAGCACCCCAAAAGGGAAATTCTGTACCCATCAGCAGTCAGTCCCAATGCCTCCCAACTCCTGGCAACCACTAATCTACTTTCCATCTCTATGCGTTTGTCTGTTCTGGACATTTTGTATAAATGGAATCATATATTATGTGGCCTTTTGTGTCTGGCTTCTTTCACTTGGCATCACCTTTTCACGGTTCATCTGTGTTACAGCATGTGTCAGGACTTCCTCCTCTTTGATGACTGAATAATATCCCATCACGTGGATATACCACGTCTCCATGTCTGTTCTTGAAGGAACAGGAGTAGAGAAGATTCTCCATGGCAGGTGTATGCTGGGGGCTGGGCAAACACAGCCAGGAGCACAAATGACACTGGGCTTCTGGGCAGTGGGGAGCGGCTGCAGCCCCCTGGAAAAGCCTTTTAACCCTGCCTTGTCCCCATCATTCAGATGGCTTATCCAAACGTCCCAGGGGAAACAGGAGGTCTCCTGGTCCAGCAAGGGAGGCTGTGGATGGGTGAGCCCCTGGACACCGTCTCCAGCATCCCTTCTGTGCCCACTTGGGCTTCCCCAGCCCAGCAGGGGGCGCTGGGGCAAGTCTGGTTCCAAGAAATGGTCTCCTACTTGGGATACTGGTGAATTTCCACCTTTCAGTGTTTTTTTCCTCAGCTTACTTCCCAGGTATTCAAGTGACGGGAACTTTGCGTTTGGGGAGTGCTAGACCGTTCCGGTTCTGGGCTGCAGCCAGTGGGAGTGTGTGAAAGACAAATTCCCCATCTCAGTGGGGTCAGAATGGGTCTGACAAGCCTTCCAGCTGATGCTTGTGCATCCCAGGCTCAGGATGCTCTACAAGACCCTCAAGTTCATGCCCAGAGCGGGAGCGCGTCCTTTCTGCAGACAGTAGAGGGCTGCCTCCCAAATGATCGTTGCTAGGCTGAGCGCTCCTGTCTCTTCTTTGTGAATCCATTCAGGAGAACCAACCTGAGTGGTGGCTTATTCTGTGGGCCACACCCGTAACATTTCGTTCATTCATTCATTCAACGAAACTTTGTCCTATGCCGGGCACCATGCTGGCATGGAAGTTACAGCGCAGACTAAGACGTGGTCCCTGCCTACAAAGGCCTTGCATTCTGGGTGGGGAGACACCTAATCCCACTCCAGCGAGGAGGGAGCCTGGAGGGCGGAGCAGGACGGGTTCCCAGGTCAGGGAATCAGGAAGCCGAAGGCAGCAGCAACATTTTTCTTTTTTTTTGGGAGAGTGAAGCAGAGAACTGAACCGGAGCATCATGATTTGGTCGTAGGCATTTTAGCCTTCTATATTTTTTCCATTCAACATTCAAGAGATGAAAATAATAAACTTGTTTCTGGTTCTGCTATGAAGGTCTATCTTAGGTCAGAAAGAAAATGTCCTCCCTAATTAGTCCATTATGGAAACGCACAAGCGGACTGTCCACAGAGAAAAGGGAGAGCTGTACGGCTTTAGTTTCGGGATAAGTGTGCTCAACTCTGGAACAGCTTCTACAAAAGCTGAGAAGACACCGCCGAATCCACTTCCAATAGGAGGAGCCGTCTGGCTGGACTCTTTGGGCAAGCAAAGGTGTTTCTGGGTGCGTCAGGGTCTGCAGATACGGCTCTGAAGGCTCCGGGGCGTAGGTGGTCAGGAAGTCCTGGGGGTCACCGAGGGCAGTGGCTTGAAACCCTGGCCGCCCCTTCAGAATCGCCTGGGAGCTTTTAAAGCTACCACATCTGGCCCCACTCTAGTGACTCTGATTTAATTAGGGGGCACTCAGGTGCTGGTACTTTTTAAAAGCTCCCCAGATGATTCTAATGTGCAGCCGGTGCTGAAAACCCCTGGCTGTGGGGGGAGGGGCAGCAATGTGCAAGAAGAGGACGGGGGCCATGCCAGCCTTGACACACCCCTATGCGCAACGCCTGGGGAGAGGAGATGGGGGCGGGGCTACCAGAGAAGTGGATGGAGACCAGGAACAGGCATACCACAGGAGCGAGCCACATGCTGCGAGAGATGGAGAAAAACCTGCACTGGATGTGCCATTTAGGGCCAAGCCAGTCACTGGCGGCGTTAGCAGGTTTGTCGCAAAGTGACGTGTGGGCAGCTGGATCAGAGGGTGCGAAAGAGTGAGATATGAGTCGGGACTCTGGAGGTGAGAAAACGGACACAGAGAATGCAGACTGACTTGGAGGCGAGGAGAGAGGCAGTAGTTGTCGATGGAGGGGGGACGTGGGGTCGAGGGCAGGCTTTAGCTGTCTGTCTAGGATGGGGGAGACGTGAGTGTGTCTGAATGCTGATGGAAATGGTCCAGTTGAGAGGAGGTGGTGAGTGTTTGGGAGAAGAGAGACATAATTGATGGTATCAAGCTCCTAAGAAGGTGGAAGGGGAGCGAAGGGTGGGGATCAAACACAACGGTGGCAGCACAATCTTAAATCAGAGTGACACCTCCTCAGTTGTACCAGATGGAAGACGGAGAGGATGCGGGCAAGAGAGGAAGGGCGGCTCATCGCACTGGGTGAGTTCCAAGAACAGTCGTTCACCCTTGCTTTACTCACCCATGGGGTTACTTTCAAAGGCTCGTGGCCTTGACATGCTCCCTCTCTTCCATGAAGACTCTGGTATTTCTCTTTCCTTTTGTCTCCACATGGCAGCCAGACCTGGAGCCACTGTCCCAGTGATGGGTGAGCTGGTGGAGGCCTGGCCGTCCTCTCTTCCTGGTCCACCTTCTTCACCTGTGGCTGTTGGGTGTTGGGTCAGTCAGCCAGCAGTGACCCCATGGCTGAGACCCTGGAGAAGCTGGGAGGTGAAGCCTGCCCTGAGGCTCCTGGCCTGAGCTCCGGTCTCAACCAGGATCTATCTCACTAGGGAGTCTCTGCAGTGGGGACAGCCCCTTCCCACTAAGGTTGATGAATGGGTACTGCACTGGGTCCCGTTGCCCTTGTCTTGTGTGTGTGTGCTCCTTCCTTGGGAAACCCCAAGGGGCAGAGGGTTAGTCACAGGGTTCAGGCATCGAACTCTCACCCTGACACCCTAACGGCCTCTGACCTCAGTGGTGGAGTCTTTGCCTCCCTGATCCTTTCACACCTGAGGCCGTGCTGCGAAGGTCGGCAGTTAAGGTCACTGCCCATGGATTGAAACTGGAAGGTATGGAGGGGCCACTCCCGTGGATAGGTGTCTCCTGCCCCGACTTCATCTTCCAGCTCACTCCCACCTCCGTGCAGCTGACTCAGAGTTAGGAACAGCCCCTCGCAAATCTCCTTTGGGGAAGCACCCCCGGCCCTCTGCCTTGATGCCCGCCGCTGGGCTCAGCGTTACAGAAGCATCGCCCTCTGGCCCATCACTGGCAGGAAGTCCTCCTGGTGGCTCCTGACAAACGGGCCTGGCCCATTTCCTGCCCCTGTTCTGTGTCCAGCTGTGTCCCTAACCATCCCACCGTGAAATGGGCAGTAGCTTTCAATCTCTCACCTGTTTTGTGCTCATCGAAGATGCCATCAATGCTGACACAGTAGTTGGTGCTTACGTTTTTAATGGGCTGCAAGCCAGAGCAGTGCCTAACCAACAGGTCTCCTGTGTCCCCTCTTCCCATAGCTGTGCACCGGGTTTGTGTGGTTTGTTTGGTTTCTCAAGTCCCCACCCCAACACCTGCCCCAAACAGAATCCAAAGTGCAAAAGAAGCGTGTTTTTAAATGAAGGGTAAAATCAGGGCCTCCTTCCTGGTGGTGGTGTAGGCGTGGGTCTGAGATTCTCCCCCTGAGTCGAGTCCCGCTTGGACTTGGGTAGACTTGCTCCTCTCCGGCCACCCTGGCTGTCTTCCAGTCCTCAAATGTTCCGTATCACCTCCCGCCATGCAGCCCTTGCAAGTGCTGTTCCCTCCTTGCCCAGTTACCTGTAAGTCATCCTTGAGGGCTCAGCGTGACGTTACTTCCTCTGGAAGCCCTTCCTGACCCCTGCTCTAAACTGAACGCTCTTCCCTGGCATCTGAGCCAGCCAGCTGTTCAGAGTCTACTCCAGCGACTTCCCATCCTTCACAGGTAGAGAGAAAAGATGGGGCAGGGCAGGGGGCTGGCCTTGTTGCCTGAGGTCAATCACCTGTGTATTTCCTTTAAGCTCCCTCCATCAAGTGTCATTTATATTTATTTGTATATTTGTCTATTATCTGTATCCTACACCAAAATTTCTTCTTCTTTTATTTTTGGTGAGGAAGATTGGCCCTGAGATAACATCTGTTGCCAATCCTCCTCTTTTTGCTTGAGGACCATTCTCCCTGACCTAACATCTGTGCCAATCTTCTTCTATTTTGTATGTGAGATGCTGCCACAGCATGGCTTGATGAGTGGTGTGTAGGTCCACACCCAGGATCTGAACTGGCAAACCCCAGGCCACCAAAGCAGAGCGTGCAAACTTAACCACTGTGCCACTGGGCTGGCCTCCAAAATTTCAGATCCATGAGGATGGAGGCTATAACTGTTTCCACCACCGTCCCGGTTCTAAGCACAGCAAGGGCACACAATAGCTCCTCAAAAATGTTTGCTCAGTAAATACTTGAAAAATCCCCCTTTGCTGTGGGTCTGTTGATGGTGCTTTCCTCTGACCCCACACTGCAGGCCTCTCTGATGATGTCGCTGAAGGTACGGGCCGGAACGGTCCCAAGCGTTCCATCTCAGACTCTAAGGGGGTCTCTGGCAGCATTCTTGTTTCTGACTCCTCACTTGTCGTGAGCTGAGCAGCTGCCGCTGGCCTCCCCGACCCTCCCTGCGTGCCTAGAGCATCCATGTATTGCTATGTAACAAACTATCCCACAAGTTAGTGGCACCAAACATGTGATTTGCTCCCAGTTCTGTGGACTAGGAGTTGGAGCAGGACTCAGCTGGGCTGGCCTTCTGCTCTGGGTGGCGTTGTCTGGGGTACTCACTCAACCACATTCAGCCGGTGGCTGGGCTGGGCTGGGCTGGAAGAAAAGGCCTTCACCTTCCTGGAACTGTGGTGCTCGTCCAGGTGTCCTTTACGTGTCTCTCTCCAGGGGGCTTCGGGACCGCCTCCTGGCATGGTGGGCTCAAGGGAGCTGATTTCTTACCTGGCGGCTGGCTTCCAAGAGGGCGCCTTCAGAGGGCGGCGTATGTGGAAGCTGCAGTCTCTCAGGCCTGACCCCGGAAGTTAGACAGTGTCACTTGTGCCACATGGTATTGGTCACAGTCAGTTACGGGATGAGGCAGACCCAGGGGAAGAGGATACACAGCCCGTCTCCCTATCAAGGGAGTAGCAGAGGACCTGTGGCCGCCTTTACCCCACCATGACGCCTCACTTGGCACTGGCGAGCCAGAGGTGAGAGCCTCGGGCCCCATTTGGAAGGGCTTTCCTCTAGGATCACGTGTGGGACTTGCCCATAACTGCTCACTTGAGGGCTAGGAACTCTAACTTGAGAGCAGGACTCAAGATGGACACATTCCTGGGCAAAGCAATGGCCATTTCTCCTTCACAGTCATCTTTATCTCATCCGTCCCCTGACCCTTGACACTGGTGTCAGTGTGGAGAGTGAAGGGTTTGGAGGCATCAGCAAATATCAGCATGGGTGCTTGGATCAGGCAGGTGATGAAGAACTTGAACCCCTGCTAAGGGCTTCCACACACCAATATTGCTTCCACTCACAGTCCATGGGCCAGAACTGGTTATGTAACCTCTACCTGATGTCAAGGAAGGCTGGGAAATGTAGGGAGTACACATAACTGGTGTGCACTAATGACCTCTGCCACACCTTCTCTTCCTGCCTACCTTTGAATGTTGTCACTTGGAGTGATGGCAACCATTTTGTGACTGTGAGGAGAAGGTCAAGAGAATCACAGAAAGGCTGGCCTGAAGCCCTAGTGTTGTGGAGCTGCTGAACTACCCTGGTACCACCTGTTCTTGGACCCCTTGATATGTGAGATGCTTTTATTTAGGAGTTCTGCTGCTGTTTTTTTCAGCCGAAAGAAACTCAACAGATACAGTAGCTAGTGCTATGAAGAAAATAAAGCAGGGAGAAGTGTAATGTGACTGGGGGAGGGGATGACAATGAGCTGAGTGTGTGTGTGTGTGTGTGGGACAACAATGGACAAGGAGGTAAGGGACATCTTTGAGAATAGAAGAGACCATTACGGGCAGAGTGATTTGGACAGAGAAAGCACTACATGCAAAGGCCCTGAGGTAAGATCACACATGGCGTGTTTGAAAGGGAAGGCCAGTGAGGCTGGAGCAGAGTGGAGGGAGAGTGGGAAAGGATGACAGAGGGGCTGGAAGGGGCCAGAAAGGGCAGGGCTTTGTATATTAGGTCAGAGCTTGACTTTCTTAAAAAACAGGCTCATTGATGCATAATTGACAAACAAGATGCTGCCCTTATTTAAAGTGTACTTACATGTCTGTCTTCTTCCACTCAGCGTAATTATTTTGAGATTCATCCATTTGTTGCATGTGTCAGTAGTTTGTTCCTTTTCATTGCTGAGCAGTATTCTATTGTATAATACGTTGTAATTTGTTTAAACATCCTCCTGTTGAGGGACCTTGAGGCTGTTTCCAGATTCTGGCTATTATAAACAAACTGCTGTGAACATTTGTGGATGAGTCTTGTGTGGATATATCCTTTCATTCCTCCTTGGTAGATACCCAGAAGTGGAACGGGAGATGTATTTTCCACTTTAAAAGAAAGAGACAAACATTTCACAGCGATTGTGCCATTTTATGCCCCATGAGCACTGTCTGAAAGTTGCCCTTCCTCAACATCCTTGCTAACTCTTGGTATGGCCAGGCTTTTGAATTTTAGCCATTCTAATTAGTGTGTAATAATATCTCATTGTGGTTTTGATTTGCATTTCCCTAATGGTTAATAACGTTGAGCATCTTTTTATGTAATTGCTTATTCATATATCTTCTTTGGTGAAGGGTCTGTTCAAATCTTTTGCCCATCTTTTCATTAGGTCGTTTGTTTTCTTATTATTGAGTTTTGAGAGTTCTTTATATATTCTGGGCACAAGTCCTTTATCAGATATATGTTTTGCAAATATTTTCTCCCAGGCTTTGGTTTTTCTTTTCACTCTCTTAACAGGATCTTTTGCAGGGCAGAAATAACATCAATTTTTTTCTTTCATGGATCGTGCTTTCCGTGTTGTATTTAAAAACTCATTGCCAAACTCAAGGTCCCCTAGATTTTCTCCTGTTGCCTTCCAGAAATTTTATAGTTTTGCATTTTACATTTAGCTCTTTGATCCATTTTGAGTTAACTTTTGTGAAAGATGTAAGGTCTATGTCTAGATTTTTTTTAAAAAGATTTTATTTTTCATTTTTCTCCCCAAAGCCCCCTGGTACATAGTTGCATATTTTAATTGTGGGTCCTTCTAGTTGTGGTATGTCGGACGCCACCTCAGTGTGGCCTGATGAGCAGTGCCATGTCTGTGCCCAGGATCAGAACCAGCAAAACCCTGGGCCACCGAAGCAGAGCGTGCAAACCCAACCACTCAGCCACGGGGCCGGCCCCTAGATTTTATTTTTTTTAAACGTGTTTTGTATATGGATGTCTAATTGGCTCAGCACTGTCTGTTGAACAAACTGTCCTTTCTCCACCGAATGGCCTTTGCTCCTTTGTCAAAGATCATTTGACTCTCCTTGTGTGTGTTCATTTCCGGCTCTGCATTCTGTTTTTCGTTGCTCTGTTTGTCCATTCTTTCATCAATATCATGTTGTCTGGATCACTGCGGCTTTATAGTAAGGCTTGAAGTGGGGTGATGCCAGTCCTCTGACTTTGTTCTTCAGTATCGTATTAGCTGTTCTGCTGTTTTCGCCTTTCCCTATAAACTTTAGAATCATTTTAATCAGTATATACAAAATAGTTTGCTTGAATTTTGATTGGGATTGCATTGAATCCATAGATCAAATTCGGGGGAACTGACATATTGACAATATTGAGTTATCTGATCTATAAACATACAACATCTCTACGTATATTTGGATTTCCTTTGATTTCTTTCATCAGAGTTTTGTAGTTCTCTGCGTATCTATCCTGCACATATTTTATTAGATTTATACCTAAGTATTTTGTTTTTGGATGTGAATGTGAATGGTTTTGTCTGTTTAATTTCAAACTCCAATTGTTCATTGATGGGATGAAGGAAAGCAATTGACTTTTATATGTTAACCTCATATCCTGCAGCCTTGAGCTTTCTGTCTTTTTTTTAAAGATTGGCACCTGAGCTAACATCTGTTGCCAATTTTTTTTTCTTCTTCTTTTTCTCCCCCAGTCCACCCAGTACATAGCTGTATATTGTAGTTGTGGGTCCTTCTAGTTGTGGCATGTGGGATGCCGCCTCAGTGTGGCCTGATGAGTGGTGCCATGTCCGTGCCCGGTATCCAAACCAGCAAAACCCTGGGCCGCCGCAGTGGAGGGCGAGAACTTAACCACTCGGCCACGGGGCGGGGCCCCAGCCTTGAGCTTTCTGATGGAGACAACAGAAGTCCCCGAAGCCCTGGCCTTTGGTTGTTCCCAACCTTCCCCAGTGATCTTCAACTTTTGGAATACTAAAGAGCTCATCATACATAGAAAGGGTAACTGCTATTTTATAACATTTTTGCTTCAATTATGAATGTGACGAGGTGTACTGAATCACAATGAAAAATGTATTTCTTACTACGTGTTGAGTCAAAACATTTGAAAGCCCTGCCATAGAGGACTTTTCTTCCTCCCGGATCACAGGGTAAAGTGGGCTCAGTTCAGCCCAGCCCCTCCTTCAGCACCTGCCTCCTAAAAGCTCATCCGATGCCACCAGCCCCCCTGCGCTGGGGGGGTCGATCAAGTCTTCCAGCTGTTGGGCTCAGTTCTCGACTGCTCTGGCCACCCAAGCCCTGCCGGGTGACTTTACTCTGAGACCATCTTGACCGTTGGTTTCCATCAAAGAGTAAAAACAACAAAGAGGACCCACTCCAGGGAAGCAATTAACTGCGTGGTTTAGGAGAAACTAGAAGGGGCAGGTCGTGGTGGTCGTGCTAATTAAGCACTGACCTCCGGCCTCCTGGATTAGGTAGAATGAGTCTGCAGGTTTGTACGTAGTGACAAGCCCCGTTGTTTACGGGGCAGGGAAGTCCTCACTGGGGTCTGGAATCTGAGTCACTAAAAACCCTTGGTCCTTTATCAGCCTCTGCTGATTGGAGGAAGTTGTGACGAAGCCAGTGGTCAGTTTTGATCCTCCCAGGCAAGCGCTGCCCTCCGTGGGAAACTCCTCCTTTTCCCTCTCTGGGCAGCCACCATTCCTCATCCTCTTCCTTTTTCCTCCCTCCCCTTCCCATGTAACTTCCGTAACTGTGAGAAAGTAGAGGGCGGTCCCTCGCCTGTCAGTCAAAGCTTCCAGAGCCATTGCTCTGCCAGCCCCGCAGTCACTTCCAGGAAGCAGGCATGGTCTATGTCCCTAGCTCCCTACTACCCTGTCCGGCCTCAGCCCACTCTCACGTGGGACAGTCACCCCGGGCCCACCTGAGTGCTCCAGGTGGAGCACAGGGCCTCAGTGTGGGCTTCCCACCCTCCTACCCCTCACCTCTTTCCACATCTGATACGCGCCACCTTTCAGAGTCTCAGTGGCACAGTCCAGTCTTAAAATTAAGTGCAAACTCCTCACCACGGTCTGAAGCCCTGCAGAGTCTGGTTCTGCCTACCTCGGCAGCCGCGGGTACAGCTGCTTCTCTCTCTTTCCAGGCTCTAGCCACACCGGCCTTGTCACTGACCCAGCTAAGAGCCTCCTGGCCTCTGTTGGACTGTTTCCTCTGCTTGATGGCTCTTCCCCTCCTCGTGTGCCCACTGGCCTCCTGGACCTCATCCCTGCACACATCGCTGCAGCTGGATTCTCGAGGATGTGGTTAGCTGTTCCACACTCGTCTCTCTACCTCGATTCCATACCTGCCCACGGCAAGGACTCCACCTGGTTTGTAGCCCCAATGCCTCGTACAACGCCTAGCAGGTGTGAAGTTGGTTTTGACTGAGTGAATGAGTGTTGAAGGGCAGCTCCCCTTCCCGGGGGCTGGCCCAGCACCCCGTAAAGTCATCTTGGTGTTTGGTGTGCTGTGAATTGTACAACGACTCATCTTCCCACTTAAACCGCCTTCCCCCCCAACTCACCTCAGTGTCTGGGCCTCAGTCTTGATGCGGACTTGGGGCTGTGGACTTGAACTCATCCCCAAAGCTCTGGCCTCTCCTGACACTGGCCTCCCCACTTTCCTTTCATTTGTGAGATGGTCACTGTCCAGGTAGGCGAGTTCAAGCTCCTTTCCCAGCTGCCTCGTTTGCCCAGCTTCTCGCAGGGATGGCGGCCATCAGCAAGCTCTGCTTCATGAACCCGAGCACATCCTCTGCGGCTCAGAGCATCCTACCAACTTCTTCCCGGGGCTTGTGGGCCTGGCTCTGTCCAGCTTGATCGGAGCTGCCTGGCCTCCTACAGAATCGCAGGGATCTCTCAGAACCCTCATCCGTCTTTCCCTAACGTGGCATCAGTTGACTCCAATTCTAGAAGCAGAAGCTAGTTCACAGTGCAGACAAGCTCAGGGTCTGCAAAAAGGCCCCCCTACCCCACACCCAGCTAATTGTCACTGTGGCAGATGCCATGGATTGCCCACCAAAAAGCCACTCACAACTGCTTTCTCACCTTTCCAGACGCCCTTGCAGCTAGAGTCATGTGACACGGTCCTGGCCATGGGGCTGCAGTGGGGAGGCCCCTGGGGAGGGTGTCCCTCCCTGAATAAACAGACCTGGTTCCAAGGGCTTTGGCCCTTCCCCCTAATCTGGGTCTGGAACAAGGATGTATCTAGGGGAGCAGCCATCATCGGATATTAAGGACAAAAGCCACATGCTGAGGGTGGCAGAAGAGGAAAGACAGGAGCCAGGGCCTCGAGGAGTCAGCTAAGCTGCCTTGGACTTCTTGTTCTCTGAGAAAAGCAATGTCTTAAGTCTCTAAGCCGCACTGCTCACTCAGGGTCTCCGTCAGGCGCCGCCGAAAGCACTGCTGACTGATGGTGATTTCAGCTGTGTCTCTTTAACCCTCAGGATCACTGGACCCTCCTGACAGAACGCCTGTGCTGTGTCTCCCCTTCCCCAGCAGCCATGGCAGCGACTCCCTCCGCGCAGTCACCTCCTCTGGACCGTTGTCTCAGTTCATCTGCACCAGTGCCAGCTGCGATGGTTCCCATGGGGCTAGAGCCACACTCCGCTGCCAGCCCACCTGGGCCTCTGTCACCCTTCCCTGCTGCTGGTGCCTGAGGCTCAGGCACCAGCTGACTCTGGGTCCCTGGCAAGAGAAGTGCTGTCTTCGTGGTTTACTGTGGGGTCCAAGCGTGGGCTCTGTGAGGTGTAGATGGCCCTCCCCTGGCCTCTGGACTGCCCTGCTGGCACTTTTTCTGGCCTTGTCCTGCAGTAGAGTTTCTTGGATGTTTTGAGCAGAGGGAATGGCCTGAACAAAGGTTTGGACGGCACGGTACATAGGGTCAACGACTGCTCTGGTTTACCCAGGACTCAGGCGTCTCCTGGGGTGCAGGAGTTTCAGTGCTAAAGCCAGGCCAAGCCAGGATGGCTGGTCACCCTAGTGGTCCATCTGGAGAATGTCAGTAATCTGTGCAGCTGGAGCAGGCAGGGTGAGCAATGAGGCTGGAGAGGTGGCAGGGGCCGACCTCAGAGGGATCCCTGGGCGTTTGATGCTGACCAGGAAGGGCCAGTGAAGAGTCTGGGATGGGTGTATAGGACTAGGGCTGCTGGAATTACTACAAACTGGGGGTCTTAAGACAACAGAAATGTATTCTCTCTCAGTTCTGGAGGCCGGAAGTCTGAAGTCAAGGTGTCGGCAGGGCTGCGTTCCCTCTGAAGGTCCTAGGGGAGAACACCCTCCCTGCCTCTGCCACCTGCTGGGGCTCAGGCACTCCTGGGCTGCGGCTGCATCGCTCCCATCTCTTCTCCATCTTCACGTGGCCTTCCCCTCTTCCATGACGAAATCTCCCTCTGCTTTTCTCTTATAAGGACACCTGTCGCTGGATTTAGGGTCCTCTTGGGTAAATCAGGATGATCTCATTTCAAGATCCTTGACTTAATTCCATCTGCAAAGACACTTTTTCCAAATAAGGTCACATTCCCAGGTTCCAGGGCTTAGCACGTGGACATATCTGTTACGGGGCCACTATTTAACCCCTGAGGCAGCCAAGAGACATGTTCAAGTTTGCAATTTGGAAAGATTACTCTGGAAGCAGAGAAGAGGGGACGTTCAGCTGTTAAACATGATGTCACAGAGGACATCCTGGGGAGAAGCCGAGGCACGCATACATGAAGAGCAGCCTGGGGGGCACGGTGGATCCCACTGGGGCGCTTCCTTCCACCTCTAAGGCTGTCCACATGACTCCCGAGCCTACCACAGCCGCCACAGTCTGGGCCTGTCCCTTGCAGACTCCAGATTGCTTCTCGCCCAGGGTCACTGACGGGCCCAGGGATAGATGGACCCTCCCTCGCCTGCCTAAAGCTGGTCTTCAGAGTCCTGGTTTCCTGTCTTAGGACTAATGTCTCTCTCAGCTATGACTGACACCAGGAATATTTGCCCCTGCTCTGCAGGGCAATGCTCTGCTCCACGGGATCATCCATTCATTCCTTCAACTTACCTCGGTTGAGGGCATGCTGGTTGCGGGAACCATGGACCCATCACAGCCCCTCCTCTAGGGGTTCATAGGCCAGTCCAGGCAATAGATGAGGAATGAGTGATTTCAACACCACATAAACTACGCTCGGGTGGGTCACAGGCAGGCCCAGGAGGGTCCTCAGGCCAGGCCATGCTCACAAAGGGCCTTAAATGTGGATTTTTGACATCATCCCCAAACCATTTTACACCCACAGACACAGGGCTTCGTCCTGACAGTGTTGAACGTTTAAACCTTGCCACACATTTTGTAACCCAGTTTTGGCTTTTTGTTTTGCTTTTCACTTTAAAAACGACATGAGGTTGGGGCCGGGCCCATGGCAGAGTGGTTAAGTTCACACACTCCGCTTCAGCGGCCCAGGGTTTCGCTAGTTTGAATCCTGGGCAGGGACATGGCACCGCTCATCAAGCCATGCTGAGGCAGCATCCCACATGCCACAACTAGAAGGACCCACAACTAAAAATATACAACTATATACCGGGGTGCTTTGTGGAGAAAAAGGGAAAATAAAATCTTTCAAAAAAAAAAAGCTACATGAGGAGCCCCCAAAATGGGAAGTGGCTTGGGCCTTCCTCAGCCTCCGAGGTCAGGAGGCTTCCTGAAGGCTGCAGCTCCTGAGATGGTTTGGGAAGCGGTCAGCCAGGAGAAGATGGACCTGCAGGGCACGAGGAGTGTCCCTGGCAGAGGGCGGCATCTGTGCCCGGCCGAGCGGGGAGGGCTGTGGAGCTTTTACAGGCCTGAGACAGCAGTGTGGCAGCTTCCAGAGTTTGAGAGAAAGAAGAGCTGGCGACAAGACTGCAGAAGTAAACTGAGGCAGAAGTTCATGATGTCCAGGTGAAAGGCTTTGGCCTTCCTCTTGAAGGTGTGGGGAAGCAATCTTCTAGCCAGAAGTCTTGAAATAATGGTCAGTCAGGAAAAGGCCTGCTTCTCACGCCCCAGCCCAGTCATTGCGCGTTTTGTATGTTGGAACGGGTACCAGGGGGCGTTTGGTTTCACAGAATGTGTGTCCTTTCTCAGCAGCATGCTGGTGAGCAGAGAGGCCCAAGAGTCAGAGGCCTTCTCATTTCTCTCCACCTAAAGAAAGAAAAGACTGAGGCAGAGAGGGCAAGGGACCCAGAGCGTGAGGAGTTGAGTAGCCAGAGGAAGCTTCTAGGATGGGGGGGCTTGAGTGGGAGGGAGACCATGCCCCTGTCCTGGCATTTTTGCTGATCCTCCGGGCTGGGAAAACTGGCAATGGGGCCCCTGTTCTCCCCCAGCAGAACGGAGGGGCGGAACCGCCGCCAGCCCCACCGCCCCGCCGCCTTCTGGCTTCTCTACTCCTGTGTTTGTCTTGGCTGAGAGCTGCTCAGGGCTTTTTGAAGCTGATTCCATCAAGGCAAAGCTGGAGGAATCGGGACACTGGATCAGAGAGGAGGGAGCTGGAAGGGGCCTCAGATGGGGAAGCAGAGGTGGTTGCACCGTGAGCGGCTGGTTGACCAGAACCCAAGGCTCCTGACTCCTTGCACAGTGCTCAACCCAAGCACCACGGAGCTTCCCCAGTGGGTGAGGGTCTGACCCAGGGCTGCAGTCCCCTGAGCTCCTGCTGCCCACCTTCTCCAGGAAGGCGTTTGAGGGCTGGAAGGTGCCTGCAATTGTGCTGTACCTCAAGTTGTGTCTCCTGTTCTTGCTTCATGATATACAGACCCGCTCAGACACTGGCACTCCAGCTTCCAGGGACTCGGCCCCACCAACAGGCCCCCCTGGCTGGGCTTGCCCAGTGCACTGGGCCATGCCCCACCACAGCCAAGCCCGCAATTGTCAGATGTGGATTTGGCACTGCCTCCCCCAGGCCCAGCGTGGACCCTCCCACGTTCTGCTCTGCACAGATGCCGACCAGTCATGTGTGCCACAGCTGAAGGCCTCCCCCGTTGGCCTTCACCATCTGCTGAGGCCCCATAATTATTCCAAGGCCCGGTGCAGTCTCACTCCGAGGGGAGAGTTCCAACAGCCCTGTAATGTAACCCAGGCCCTCGGCTGCTCGGCAGGGGGTCCCCAGCTGGGTAATGAGCCGCCAGCTTATTGAATTCCCCGGCTGGGTCTGACTGATCACTGCCTTAGCCAGGTGGCCCAGGCCCTCTGAGAACCCATCTGAGCACCCTCGTTAAGGACTCCTTCTCCCCGGCACCCCAAATCCTGCTCTTCAAATCCTTCCTCCTCCCCAGATGTGTTTAAATGACAAAGATCAGTGCAAGGAGGCTCCCAGGGGGCTGGCCTCCCCCATCTATTCAGGAGAGAGTGTGGCTGCCTCAGGTCTGGGGCCCCAAGCCGGGTGGCTCAGAGGGGCTGCTGGTGGGCCTTTGCTGGGGCTGCCCTATGCGGAAGCAAGACCTGCAGTTCCCACCCCCAGCCCGTCTCCACCACTTGCTGACTTCCTTCTCCCCTCCCCTTTCTGGAGGCCCGGGCCCCTGGAGGGAGGGCCTTGGCCCAGGACGCTGTGCTGTGGGCCAGGCCTTTCCAAGGAGACGTGTAGGAAGCTGCCTTCTCTGCGCCGTCTTGCAGACTCCTGCTCAGGCGTCAAGACCCGCCCCATGTCACGTCTGCATCTGCGCAACAGCAAACCCAGGCTTCCCTCCCACCTGCCCAGCTCTTGTAAGACCCCCACAACAGCATTTACTTGTCCTATCATGCTTTTGCCTGCTTGTTTTCTGGCCAACACGGTGCCCTGTCTGTGGGCAAGGACTGCCCTCTATCTCTCTCTACCCAGAACTCAGCACATAGTAGAGGCTTTAAAAACCTCCAAGTAGGGAAAGAGGGAGGAGATGCTGCCAAAGATAAGAGGTTCGGTCTGTGCATGAGTGACACAGCATCCAAGATGTTGGTGTCTCCCCGGGCCTGCGTGCATCCCCACCACGTGGATGGCTGAAGTCCTCAGAAAGGAGAGGCCTGACAGTTTTGGGAAATGCTGTCAGCTGTGTTGTCCTGTCAAGGCCCAAATGGCTCAGGAGTTGTTATGCTAACAGTGAACCTGAGGTCAGGGGTCACCTAGAGTTCATTGACCTGGGTGACTTCCTGCCGGCTGCACCTAGCATGGGCCTTGAACCCACCCTGGGGGTGTGATGGATCCGTGGTCCCTCTGCCCTTCGTCCCTCTGCACTCCAACAGTAGGGGGGCAGAGCTCGTCTGAGCTGAAGTCAGAGCCCAGCCCTCTTTCTGACTGAGCTGTGCCTGAGGTCCTCTGGGAAGGCAAAAGGCAGGGGGCACCCCCCGAGGTCAGACCCCTGCCTGGCTGACCCAGCCCGGCTCCACTCCCCAGAGACCTGTGTTGAGGGAGGAACGGCCTCATGGACAGTAGGAGTAGGCAGCTGGTCCCTCATTCGGTGCCAGGGGGTGGTGAGGGTGGGGTCCACGCCACCCTTGAGAAGGGTGTGGGAGAGACGGAGCCGCAGGGAGGGAGGGCCGGAGGGAGGGAGGGCCTGGGCGGAGGAGGCTCCAGACGGCTCCCGGAACAGTTTACGTGCAGCGGGCTGGCAGGGTGGCCGTGGGGCCTTTCTGGAGGGCTGGAAGCCTGCACAGCATTGTGGGAAGAGCACAGAACTGGGCTCCAGGAGGGGAGGGTGTGAGCCACTGGACTCCGAGTAGGCCCCGCCTAACGTCTCTGTGACTCGGTTTCCTCTCCCGTACCACGGAGCTCAGAGCAGCCTCTGCTGGGCTCCCTCCTGGGGCTGGCGTGAGGGTCAGCGGCGATGATGTCGGTGGAACGCCGTGTGGGCTCCCCGCCCTGATCGGATATTATTTGTTATTCTGAGCTGTGTTTCGGTGGGAGACTTGGAGGGGCTGAGAGGGCGAGCTGGAGTGTTCTGGGGTCCCTTCTTCTCTGATGCTGTTTTGAGAGTTCTCAGAGCAGAATGGCCAGGTGAGGTGTCCTGGGCGGGAGAGGCCCATGGCTCTTGACCAGACCAAGCTGGGCAGAGGGCTTTCTCCACCAACCCCAAAGAGCGGGTGAGGATGCACAAGCTTCCTGCCGACTCCCCTCCAGCACCCCCCTCCCTCAAGGGATGTCAAGGGACTCCCCAGAAATCTCTCCCTGGATACTTGTCCTCACATAATGGGGCTGTGACAATTTTTCTAAGTCCTGCTTAGAAACGTGTCACCATCCGTTTCCCTTTGTGATGTCAAAGGAGGCTGCACAAACCACCTTCGCCAAGCGCTGGGCTGAGGCCCCGCTCCGAGCAGCTGGAACACGGGTTTCCGAAATTACAGGCATTCAAAGCAGTCGGCGTCGCCCGCTGTCTGGCTTCATTACTGGGACCAGCCTTGGAGGGCAGTTTACTCCAGTAATTTAGGGGATTAGGATCTGACACCCTTCATTAGCTCTTTGACATAAGCAGAAAGGACAGATCCTGCAGAATGACCCGCGCACCGGGAAGGACTTGGCTCAGGCGGGAGAAGGCAACCCACACCCCTCCAGGAAGAGGACCAGTCTGCAGGGCGGAAAGAAGGCTCAGCTGCCTTTTTACAGTCGAATTAGATGGCGAACTCTAACCCTGAAGGGGAGAGCGGACCTGGGAAAGGAGAGGCCTGGGCTCAGGACTCAGCTTCCCCATCTGTAAACAAGAGCACGACTGGGGACCTTCCAGGTCTCTTCTGGCTCTGACATGTGCTGGGTCCACTGGCTCTACTCTCCCTGGGACACAGCAGCTCAGTTCCCGCCCCCAGATCCTTTGCGGTTTGGCCTTGAAAAGGCGCCTCTCTCTTCGGGGGATCTGTCTCCCCACCTCCCACCCTCTGGGGATCAAGTGACCAATGCAAAAACTCTCAGCCTGCTCACTTTTCGGTGGCATTTTAGATACGAGCCATTTCATGCCAAATGGGAGAGAAATTGCCCCCAGCCCCTGGCAGCTTCTGGCTCTTTTCCTGGCCCCCTCCACAAACACAGCCCCTGAGATTTCACAAACTTCTTGTCCAGCCTGTAAAAACCAGAGTTGGGGCCGTACCTTGACAGCCGTTCTGACAGTTGGGGGTGGGGAGTGGTTTCCAAAGGCCCCTGCCCGCACCCCGCAAGCTGGTGTCCCTGTTTCCTGTATTAATGGTGGGCCACCTAGCTGTGCAATGCCGGGCACGTTGCTTAGGCTCTCTGTGCATCCTTTCCTCAAATCTAAAATGAAGGTACGGTTTGTTGCTAGGATTAAATGAGATGATGCACACTGAGCCTGGCGCCTAGTAAGAGCCCAGTAAATAGCAGCAGTTGGTATTACTAGCACTGCTTACTCTGCGTGAC